CTGACAACTCTACTGCTAGAATCATATCTAATTCTCTACACTAGTCTTATCTGTCGCATACTTGTTTGCCCTATCTGCCATCAGATTTGTCTCGCCAATCATAACTTTTCTACACTTTCTGACTAGTCTGAGCATAATTTGAAAAAATCAGACCCTCCTATCACGTTCAGAGCACTCCAGAACCTAGGAATTAATTCTTGGATCGTCGAAATCCGCCTCCAAACCCTCGATCAGAAGAAAAATTAATCTGCACTGTCGGATTTGATTTAATAATTATTTTACCAAACCCTCACCCAAACAGTGTTCCCATTGCTACAGTTTTCTCGCTGCTACAATATCTTCCTTTTTTTTCTTTTGCTTCATCTTGATTCTTGTAACGCCGTCGATCTTCACTTTTGTACGACGTCAATCTTACGAACTCGCTCTCGAATCCATCATCATGGCTCTGATACTAAACAACCACAATCAACAAGAAAGAACACCAAAATTTACGTGGTTCAGTCGACCAACTTCGACCTACATGCACGAGGCAACAATACGAGAAACCCACTATGTATTAGGGAGAACTATAAGAGAAACCACTCAACTCTCGTCTCTCAATCTCTCAACTTCATATACATATTCAACTCTCATATTCTCTCCAAAACTCACTCCTTACAATCTTTTGCACTGACAAAGACTGTCAAATCCTCTCTCTCACAATACCCTTGAACCCGATTACATTCTCTAAAACCCTGATTACAAGAATATTATCTCTCACGTTCTCTCTACTCTCATTGGTTTTTCATCCAACAATAGAAGAATATATATAGGGAAACCAAAATCATATCTCTATCCTAACTTCCTAATTAGAATATGATTCAAACTCCTAGTCATGATGAGACACAATCTCCTAGTCATGATAGATCTTTAACCCTATCTAATTTTTATGAAGTTATACAAAGAATCAAAAACACAATCCCAAAAAATTACTGTATAACTTCGTAAGTTGTGGCAACTCCATCTAAATATATTACTATCCTTTTAATAAAGTTATTCTGTAATCTTAGATGGTTGGCTAACACCTTAAAGATGATTTTAATGGGCGCGTTCAATAAGCTAGTCTAAAATCTTCCACCATTTATAGTCCTCCTTCCCGAGAATAGTTAACACTCTTCAAACTTGATTTTCTTTCCCAAAAAACTTTCGACCATCTTCATCGAATTATACATGTTTTGGGGAGAAAGCTGCCATAATGTCAGCTTTCCACCCCCTCCCCGAGGCAAAAAACCCAAAACAAACAGCCCCTTAGTGATCTTCCATAAATTTCGATGGAAAGCTTTGAAAAATCATCCAGTACCGGAGCCTTATGTACGCGAAATCACCAAACCACTATTTAACCTCTTGCTGAGTTCCTAGCTAGGTAATTAGAATGTTGTTATCATATTCATCTTAAAGTCTAATAAATTTGTTAAACACTGCCTGCATCTCAAAAGAATTTAATAAATTATATAATATAGGGTAATTATTATGGAACCCCATCAAGTTTGATCACTTATTAGAAAACACCAACACGATATCTTTTCATTACTAAACTCCCTGCAATTTAAAATTTTATTAAAAAAAACATCTTCTTCTTCCTCTTATTATATTTGCCTTTCTTTCTGACTTAAAAGCTGAAATTACACCAAATATAGACTAAATCCAAGGGTTTGAAAGATGTTACTTGATCTTTGACTTATTTTTCATTCATCAAGACTTACAATTGCTTTGGTTTGATGTGAAGAGAGTGGAGATGAGGTTTTGCAGTACTTTGAGGAAGAAGAGTAGCACCATTTAGGGGTATGTGAGAGAAAAGGATGGAAGTTAACTGGGTTTTAACAATTTTTTTAATGCCGAGATGTTTTGTAATGAGAAAATAAGTTATAAGGTTTCATAATAAACAATCCATCTTGAAGGGGCTTTGTAATAATTATTCTTTAATATAAGTACTCCGTTACTGCCTGTATAACTTTTAATAACTGTGAACATATTATAAATAATTTTTAAAATTAATAAAAGAAGGGTACGCATTGGACTGAGCCCAGTGAATGGCCTGCTTCACCTCCAAAAGCCTCCAAGCTTGGGGGTCTGCGCCTCGGATTTGGGCCACGATTTGTACATAGCCCAGTTTGTGGCCTGACATCAAAGGAGTATGAAAAATAGAACACGTACTAGCACTTGCACCAAAGGAAAGAAGTTCATCGTAAATTTAATTTAGAAAAGCAGCTCATATGAAATAAAAACTCTTATATGTAAATTTAAAAAAGATTAGATTTATGTTTTTAGGTACAGGACATCACACTTACGAATAAATATAGGTATATACTATATATATTATACTAATAATATACAGTACTACCTACGTATCATGTCATACAGCTATATACCTACTTAATACCTATACGGTAATCAATTTAAATATTCATAAGACAAACTAGCTGCGTGACAAAGAAAAATCTGGACTCATCTGTGAGAAATCAATGGAAAAATTTAAAGAAAAATTTATCATACTTTCATTATAAGAGGCATTGAAGTGCAACTTTTAGACAGTTCAATGTATAGAAGTACTACCAAGAACAAGCGACGGTGGATATGAGGGGGAAAAGTGATGGTTTACGTGATCGGTGAACCTTAGGAAATGCTAAGTTATAACGTATGGAAATACTAATTAGCCAAAATAGAACTCCTTTAAAAATAAATCAGAAAAATACAGAAATCCTATGCACCGCCTATGCACTGAGGGAAAATCAAAATAAAGCACGTAGATCTTTTTGATAAATAAATAAATAAACTAAAAAAAATAAGCTCGCACATCTCGTGGTATTTTAAAAGGAGCACAAGGCCACGAGCTATTATTTTTATGTTGAGATCAAAAAGGGAGGACGATGGTGGCGTCTAAAGCCAGTGAGCACATGCTGTCTTTACTTTGGTCAGAAGACAGCTTCCGAGGACCTGCATCAACACGAGCTGATTTATAAAATGAGAACACATGACAACGTCGACTTATTACCTACTACGACGAAGAGGAACGAAGATGAATCACGACTCAAAGATTCCGAGTTAATTACATGAACAAGCTTTGAATAAACTATTGTTTGATTTGTAAAAAGTTACATAATTTACATAATAATAAAATTTAAAAATAAATATTAATCGTATCTATATATTTTTTTTCCCTTACTGTTATGCCAAAAATCATCACTCTAAGAGTATCCATAAGTGCAGAATAAGCACAAAGGCATGTGATAGGAGATTCTGGGTAAAAAGTTAAAAGAAGAACACAAGTTCCATCATTGTGTGACGCAGCGCGGAAGTTGTAGCCTCGGAATCCACCAAGGACAATCTTCGAATCCACGAAGAGCTTCGAATCCACGAAGTAAATATTGAAGAAAAATAAAATTTTATTAATCAAAAGTTATGCTTCTAGGGCTTACAAGACCCTACTTAAATAGAAAAAAAACAAGACTTTTACAAGGACTCAAACTCCTATAATGACTCTAACTTACCAAAAATAGTAAAAGAATTCCTAAAACATTAAAACTACTAAAAAGACTCCTTACAACTAGGAAAGTCCACCGGTCAAATCTGAGATCAAATCGGGTTTGTTTCATAATCAAAACAGACTCCTAAAGCATTACTAAAAATAGTAAAAAACGGACAAAAATGAAGATATCTCTCAAACCGTAAGGAATTTGGCGAAACGGAGGAAGCAAACCGAACCCTTAGGGGTAGGTTTGGATGGCTCCGTCTCGTCGAGATAGTCTATTTTCATATATAATTCGTCCAATTCCGTCGTACGGTTTGAAAGTTACGGTTGTTTCTTCGAAACATGTTATTTTCTTCGACCGGGCTCGCATTTGGGCTTGCGACTGTCCCACTTTGACATAAGTGTGTCTGCCGTGTGTTCTACATCATTGTGTTAATAAGAGATGTCTTTTTTGCAATTCAATTTAAACTAATACCACAATTTTTTTTTTACTAAAAGAGAGAAACTGCATGCTTCCTTGGTCGGCATTTTCATGAGATTCTTCAACAGCTCATGACAACACACAGTTTTATAAACATCAAAGTTTGGGGTCTTGCAATGAATACACACACACATATACATACTTGTCTGAAGCCTTGACAGCCAAAGAGCATACAATTATGTTCTTATATATGCTCTCCAGCCCTTATGTTTACCCTCCATGCATACACGCACGCACGCACAATATCCAAAGAATAGGCCCACTAGTATGTCATATAAATGATGTTAAGATCATGAAAGATATTCTACCAATTCTCAGATAGCAGCTTACAAAATTGAAATGTTCAAGAGAACAAATTTGATAGAGAATAATTCTCCTATTATTTGTCATTTTTTAGCATGCAAATATATATTTTTTTTTTGGTCAATGAAAATTTTATTCATCTTCCAAATATAGAAAGTTAAGCACAACAAACTGCTCAGTTAGACTGAGATTACTTAACAGCTACAATCAACACTATTCTCTAAAATTACAATGTGCAAATCCACTCTTTATCTTCTGCAGAGAAAGAGCCATTGAGAATGACAGTTAGTAATTTGAATTTTATTTCTTTAAACAGTTGAGATGCAGATTTTCCTTCCAGTCTGAAAATTTTAGAATTCTTTTCACACCAGATGCAATAGATTGTTGAGGTGAGAGCCATTTTCTTAACTTTTAGCTTAAAGCCATTCCCCCTCAAACGATAGCAGTACCAGTTAATAATCTGGCTCCAACTGGTAGACCTCAATCTAAATTGTAACCAATTCATAACCATTTCCAAACATCCCTTGAGTAGTGACAATCGAAAAAGAGATGATCTCTGCTCTCTGAACCCGAGCACCAGCAACAAGTGTTAACTCTCACAATTCTTCTCTTAAACAGTCTATCTTGTGTGAGTAATCTATCTTGAACTGCTAGCCAACTGATAAAAGAGTGTATGAGCAGATTTGAACTAACCCAAATTATATTGTACTACGGGACATCTGAAGCTGTAGGAGAAAGAGCAGAATACAACACTGAGAGATGAATTTTTGAGTTCCTGACACAATTTTGAATAAGGTGCTTCAGATTGTCAGCACCACCATAAGTTCTCAGAGCCTTATCTCTGATTTTCAAGATACTTTTCCACATCCAAGAATCTCTGCTTTTTGCTTGAATGTGCCAGATATCACTGTGCGTAAATAAGAGCCATGGATTCACTTAATCCAAAGAATTTCCTTGTTGATATGAATGAACCAAAGAGTTCTTAAAGTTGCAGCAAGATTCCATAAAAAGGCTGAATAGATGCCAAGTCCACCTTGCTTCCTGCCTAAACAAACCTTATCCCAGGATATAAGAGAAAACTTATGAGTGTGTTCAGTTTTGCTCCATAGGAAGTATCTGCACATTTCATCTATTTTCTTTAGGACTTTAACAGGAAGGACGTAATTTGATAACCAATAGGTTTGAATGCCAAGAATAATACTTCTAATAATCTGTAATCTGCCTGCATAAGAAAGTAATCTGTTCTTCAAACTGGATTGAAACTGGCCTGCAATGTTGTTCAACAGTGAAGAGCATTCATTGAAAGATAGCCTTTTGGATATCAATGGAACTCCCGGATATTTGATAGGAAAAACCCCTTCATTAAAATTTAAAAGCCTGTTAACAAATCCTTTGGTGCAGTCATCAACTCCTCCATAGAATACTTTGCATTAGTCTGGGTTAGCTTCAAGACCAGACACAGTGCAAAAATCCTTAAAACAGTTAAGGAGCAGCTCAACTGAATGAGGATAACCTTTGGAAAAAAGTAGGAGGTCATCAGCAAACATAAGGTGTGAGATTTGAAGCTTACCATATCCAGGGTGATACTTAAAGGATCTGTTCTCCTTAAGAAAATCTAGTCTTCTTGAGAGAAATTCCATACCCAAAATAAATAGGTATGGAGAGATAGGATCACCTTGCCTTAGACCCCTTTTACCTTTGAAATAACCATGAAGGGTATCATTTAATGATAAAGAGAACTTAGGAGATGAGATACAAACCATAATCCAGTTGATGAAATTTGCAGGAAACCCAAGACCTTTTAGCATCTCATTTAGAAAATCCCAGTTAATAGTATCGAAGGCTTTTTTAATATCAATACACAACATAATTCTAGGAGAGATATGCTTCCTGTTATAATTATTCACAATCTCATTAGCAAGAAGGATATTGGTAGAGATTTGTCTTCCTTTGACAAAGGCAGATTGGCTTTCATCAATTAAGTAACCCATCACGGATTTAATCCTATTACCCAGGATTTTAGAAATAATTTTGTAGAGGCTATTGTAGCAAGCAATAGGTCTGAAATCAGATGGGGTCTTGGGGCTGTTGGTCTTCTTATTTTGATAATATTTAACAAACAATTTACTTCTAATATTGTTTGTCTAGTGTTTGTGTTTTTGTATTTATTCTAGGCAAATAACGAGTTGGAGGATGGATGGATTGTGCCATAACGATCATATCAAATGGAGGTTGACGGAATGTCGGGTTGAGGCCTTGCAATTCAAGTTCAAGATCCAAGTTTAGCTTCATCCGCAACGTGTACCAAGTTGAGCTCAATGAAGATCAAGATCAAGCTTGGGTAATTTAGTTTAGGTGTTATATTATGTGTGTTAGATACTCTAAGCTCAATATAATATACACACACATTTTATTGGTTTCTTTGTATATATATATAGTTATATATATACATAAGTTTTGGTTTCTATGCATATATATAGTTTCATGTTTATAAATATGAAATCACATGTTTCATATTTACTATTGTGTTTTGGTATTTATTGCATAGAGTATGCAATTTTGTGAAAATATTATATTCTTAGTTTTTGGACTTAACAATAATCATATATATATTTTATTAAGTCTATATAATCATTGTGCAAAGTTTCAAAACATGGTTTAGCCAAAATGTCAAAATTCACATGTTTCCATTTTCGTGTTTTGAACTATTTTGCAAAATGATGATTTTTCACAAATAGGAAATGTAATTTGGAAAATTTCTTTTGTAACATGTTTGTTTTCATGTTTATATACATTTCCCAAAGTTTCATTATTTTTGGACTTCATTTGTTATTTTTAACATATTTTCAAAAGTCTCAAAAATCTATTTTAATATCAGTTTTCTGCTGTGTCAGTCTTCGGTCGACCGAACCGGTCGACCGCTCATTTGTTCCTTCGACAGCATGCAGCAGAGAGTTGGTCGGTCGACCGATGCGGTCGAGCGAGAGCTCCATCGGTCGACCGCACTGGTCGACCGACGATGCTCCAGAACAGTTCATAGTGTTTTTGTTCTCCGTCGGTCGACCGATATTTCCGCCGGTCGACCGCCAATAGATCCGTTGCTTTCCCAACGGCTATTTCCTGAGCTGTTTGCTGGGGCTGTTTTTGTCTTTTGTTAGGGGTTTTGACTGAGATTTAGAGTGGGTATAAATACCCTATTGCTGCTCTCTTTCAAGTTAATCTAAGAAGTTTTTAAACAAGGTTTTAAAACAAGGGTTTAAGGTTTTTACTGTTTGGATTTCTGTTTACAAAGGAGGAAGTTTTCACTGCAGATTGAGGGATTCATTCTCAATCCTCTTCATCCTTTTCTTTGTGTTCATAGAGAAGTTTTCTAACTCTTTTCTCTAGCAATTTCATTATTGATTTTTATATTCTTATTATTGCTAGTTTGCTATTTGAGTTAGATTTTATTTTACTCATTGTTACACACACCCACATTGAGCTTTTAGTATTTACATACATAGTATAGTTGGGTGGTGAGAGATTGTAACTTTGAGTTGTGCGTTCATTGTGTTCTCATCCATAGTTGAGAACAATCAAATTATTGTATTGAGCCTTATTGTGAGATTCACTTTGTAATACACTTGTACACCGAGTGAGGAGTGTGTGGTGAGAGTCGGGGATCGTCCCAAGAGGAGTGGCGTCGGTTGACGAGCCTAGGGAGAGGTTGTAACCGAGCACTTGAGGGAAACACGGCTAGGTCCAACACTTAGTGGGTGTAGAGTGGGATTACAATAGTGTGTTGATTGTAAAGTTTTCGGTTAGCTAGAAAACCGAGTGTGAGGTGTAAATGTTATTCGGGTGAACGTAGAAAACCCGGTTGATAGTGGATTTCTCCCCGGGAGTGGGGAGCGGAGACGTAGGACGGAAGGTCCGAACTCTGTGATCATTTGATTGTGTTTGAGTGTGCTTTGGCGTTTATTTTTATTTATGTTCATATCTTATATCGCCATTGTGCATTGCTCATTACTATATCATCCACTATCTTGTTTAGATTATCTACCCTTGTGTTGTTTATATATCCTTGCACATACATTGCCTATATCTCTTTGTTAGGATATATCTTGTTGTTCATATTACTTATCCTAGCTCATATACATTGTTATATTTCATACTTGCTAGGATAACTTATTAATAAGTTTTAATTAGCATAAAATTAGATTAGATTAGCATAAGACCCTAATCACCCCCCCTCTTGGGTCTAACAGGGGCAATTCACTTTTGGAATCAAAGTGATGGAAGTAGAGTTGATCATTCCAAGTATTTTACCAGTTTTAAAAAAATTCTAGAATAGCCTCAGATACCTCATCACCAATAATAAGCCAAGCTGACTTGTAGAAGGAAATACCAAAGCCATCAGGGCCCGGAGCTTTTCTATCATCCATTGAGAAGACAGCATTTCTAATTTCATCTCTAGTCACAGCTAAAGATAAGAATTTTGCTTGTGAATCATTTAAACATGGACCATTGAGAATAACATTGCTGTCAGGTTTGGCTAAAATTGTGCTTGAACCCAAAGGTGCTTGTAGTACTCAATTAGCTCCTGTATGATTATGTCACCATCAGTAATTTTATTCCCTGCACTATCATAGAGAACCATGACTCTATTGAGATGTCTTTTGGCTTTGATAGCTGAATAAAAAAAAACTTGAACTTCTGTCACCTTGGGTGCACCATTGAATCCTAGATTTCTATTGATAGAAAGATATTTCATATTCCAACAGCTTATTGTAAGAGAGCATGAATTTTTTTTCCTGTTCAATCAAGTCAGGATTAACAGGATCTGATTGTAAATTCCTTTGATCATTCTCCAGATTTATCCTTGCTCTGATAACTTGCTCAGATATATTGTGAAACTTTTTCTTATTCAAGGCTTTGAGAGCTGTCTTCAGAAGTTTTAGTTTACTGGTCACAGAAAACATAACACAACCTGCAATTTTTCCTTGCCATATAGAGGACACAGTGGGTAAGTAGTCATCATGCTTAATCCACATATTGAAAAATTTAAAAGGCTTTTTCCCTTGGACACATTCATCATATATTGACACCAATGCAAGAGAGTGATCAGAGCAATTGGGTAGCAAATATTCAACATGACTAGAGTTGTATAGATTTAACCAAGCATCATTGACCAGAGTTCTATCAAGTCTACTCCATACTCTGGAACTTGCCTCTTGTTTGTTGTTCCAAGTAAAGAAACACACTTCAGTTTTCAAATGAGAAAGTTGACAGCCATCAATGAATTCCCTGATATCCAATGTTTCAGCCTCAGTAACCATAGCTCCACCAAAAAGTTGACAGCCATCAATGAATTCCCTGATATCCAATGTTTCAGCCTCAGTAACCATAGCTCCACCAATTTTATCCTCATCACCAGATATGGCATTGAAATCACCACTGAGTATCCAAGGCTTATTACCAACTATTTGTTGAATTTGCTTTAATTCAAGCCAAAGAGCTTTCCTATTCTCAATCTGATTAAATCCATAAATAGAGGAAATAAAACAGTCTATTCTCCCATCTATGGATTTAACCATGCAAGTGATATGTTGAGGTGAGTGACAGTCAACTTGGATGTCCAAAGTGTTCGGATCCCATAAAATCAGAATTCTAGCTTTGTTAGAGTTGATAACATTTGTACACTATTTCCAATTACAAGCAATTTTCCTTGCTATAGCTGGAAACTTGCATGCTTTTATTTTTGTTTCAATGAGAGCCATAAAGGATAGATGATATTGCTGAATATGAAGCCTAACCAAATGTTGTTTAGAGGACTTATTTAGCCATCTAATATTCCAAAAAAAAAAGTTCATAATCTTGTAGCTCCCCCCCTATCTACTGTAGAGGGATCATCAACTAGGTTATTGAGATTAGTAAAAGAGTTCCCCAAGCCTGGAAAGACTTTTAGACCAGTATTTTGCATACCAGACCATGACTTAATGGATTGCAAACTTTTGTCATCTTTTGTTCCTCCAAATCCATGTTCTTGAACATGCACGGCATGCACAGTTTTTCTCCCTGAAGAATTCTTGCTATTACCAGCCAAGTCTTTTATATTCCCAGCAGAAAATGCCTGAACATTATTCCTACGAGATGAGCCCTCTAACTCAAGCTCCTGGACATACACATTATTCTTAGAAATAGATTCAGTAAAGTTCTTATATGCCCCAGCCAGACTGGTACCTTCAATAGCATTTGCTACCTGAACATGCACAACATGCACAGGTTAGCTAGGGCTTTTGCATATCTGATTACTCTTCAAATTCTCACCACCTCCAGACAATCCAGGTAGGGATCCAAGCATATTTATACCGTTCTCTTGCTGATTTTGAACATGAATAGACTGACAACCTGGAATGTCAGCTTTCTCCCTCAAATTTCCTGCACCAGTCTTAGGCACCCATCTCTGAATCTTAGGATGTTTTTTTACAGAAATTAGTATCATGCCCCACAATTTTACAACTATCACACCATTTAGGTTTTAACTCATAAATCACTTTTTGATTATATGTCTTACCATTAGGTCCATGGATTGGAATAAAGTCTGGAAGGGAGGAGGGCATATGAACTTCAACCAGAATCCTAGCATAAGCCAACCTTTGTTTACTTGCAGTGAGTTTATCTGTGGCAACAGGTTTACCCACATGGCTTACAATTTTACTAATTGCTTTTGAGCTCCACAGATTTAACCTTAGGCTAGGCAATTGAATCCATAAAGGATAAACATTTCCATTAATCTTTTCTATATCATCATCATTGGACCAGATTTTCAACAAGAGTGGTCTAGAGCCAAAGAACCACGGGCCATTCACAAGAATATCCTCCATTTGCTCTTTGCTTTGGAATTTAAACAAGAACAGACCAAGTTTGAGTAAGCACAAATCAGGGGTAGTCCATTTAGTCCAGACTTTGTGCACATAATTTCCATGGCTTTGTATTTGACATTTAAACC